GGTTCTACTTGGGTGCCGGGAGGGTCCGGCAGCCGCAGAGGTGGGAGGGGAGGCAGGAGATGGCTGGACGTGAGGAGTAGACATCGCGTAACGATGAAAGGGAACCATGTTATGGTGAAAGGATAATAAATGTTGTGTAACGAGCAAAAACTCGAGATGAAACAAAGTGCGAAACAAGCGACCTCGGCGTTGAAGCCTAAGTCTAGAGAGGGGTAAGGCTCATGTAACGATCAGGGCGGCAAAATCTCGATGTTTTGACCGTCCCAAAGTAGTAATAAAATTTTTGGGGAGGTGAATAGCGGACGCGGAGGATGGTATCGGGTGCGGAGTAATGGTATTATACTGTAATGGTACTGTACCGGTAACTTGTCTGTGGGGATTTGGCGCGATATTGTGTATCACCCGCACGATATATCATGGCACCTGGTTGTACTAGTACTAGCACAACAGCTCCGGCGTGAGGTTTCCGTAGTTTTGTCGGATTAGCATTTCACCCCGAGACTACTATTAGTACGGTACGGTACCTCACCGCCTTGAAATGGGAAGAACTATATCACAATATCATCATCTCTCTTATCATTATCTACCGCACCGCACACTTTGTACTGTACAAAAATTCCCATCTGACCATCTGATCTGATGACTTATTCCCGTCCCAACACCTAAATTACGAGTGCAGCTGATGGATATATCCGTCACGTGAAGTAAGAATAGGCAAGCATCGCATATTTTCGGTTATCATACTTCACGTGACGGGTATATCCATCGGTAGCAATCGTACCGTGCCTCCTAATTAGAATCTCAGCCAGGTAGGCAGGAGGTGGGGGGAAAGGGCATGAACAGGATCAACAAATATCTGTGAGCTTGGCAAATACCGTGGTCAGAGAGCTCCCTGCAAATTTACCCAAGGGGGATTATAATGGGCTAGAATTATCTAGCTCAAAAGACGGGAGCTTCAAATTCCTCGAGGTCTCAAGGGGCCGATGCTAGTATCATACTTGTTGGGAAAATGGGTTCAAAGTGACGGAGGTGTACTGTACCTGGTAGGGAATAGTGACAACTCGTATCATTAGCGCTGTATATATAGAGATACCTCTCACAGGTATAAGTACCATTGCCTGGTACAAAAGGGACACGCAGCAACAATTTCCGATCCTAAGAAATAGATACTCCTCTCACATTCGGTCAAGTTCCGAGATCCAGCTCAACCTCTCACCTCACATACGATACGGTATTTCCAACAATACTCGTACCACGGTACTGGTAAGTTATGGGTCCAAGGCCCACCACGCCTTGCCTACCCCCCCCTCATCTCGACGGGCTCAATCATAGTCTTTGCCTGTTATCCCTAACCCTAGCATCAGTCCCCAGATCCATCACCAGCATCAGAACCCCATTCGGAATCATTCTTCCTAGGCCATCCTGCACTCATTGTCCTAGGCATTATGAACGCCCAGCTCCCCCTTCCCCTACAAAGACCGCACCACCGCTACATCTTCAATTCCCCCCCGCTGCGTCGTACAATGCCCCCTCCGTTCCGGGAGAACCGCATAACCCTGCCAGCGCCGCTGTTCCCACCATATAGTCGCAGCAATATGCACAGGCGTTTCTCGTGGCCTGCGCACATGCGCGGGCCTACGCGGGACCTATGACTAAGGCGCAGACGATGTTGGGGGAGGGGGGGGGGTAACGGTAATGGCTATGCGCAGGGGTGGATCGCCGGGAGTCGCGGGCCAGGACATCCATGTGGGCTCTGCCGGAAGGGCGTTTAAGGCGAGTGGCTGCCTTTCGAAGGCGGTGGCGGAGTGAAGAGGGGGGGCTTCAGCTGTGGGTGCGAGAGGAGGGCGATTGTCGGTTTCCCCAATTGGGGATTCGAGTGCCGGGTGTGGGCTTGCTAGATGGAGAGGTGTGCGTGCAGACAGGTCTAGAGTGTTTTGAGTTTAAATGATCATACATTTTCGCCCCAGAGAAGTTTGCTGACGAGGCGTGTTGCGCTGCGCGGGCTTTGGTGGCTCGGTGGAGGGCGGGCCGGTCCTGATCGTCCTGTATGTTCGGGTTTGGGTCTCTGTGCGTTAGCAATAGGGCTAGGTGTTCCGGTATTCCCACACTGCCGCTGCAGGTGACTTTGTGAAGGATTGCCTTTAACGTTCGTTGCGTTGGTGCCAAGTCTTGGAAGCTGGGGTTAGTCCACCACAATAGGAAGATTCAAAGCCCATGGTATGCTGCAAACCGGTACTGTACACAATACCCTGAAAATACAGGTGTATGATACCACTGTACTGCAGCAGGGGTTTTCAAAGTTAAAAGGGTAGCAAAAATTTAGCTTACTTTGCTGTTTTATGTAAACTTGGCATGCACAGAAATGGTTAATTTATGGTTACTTAACTTTACTATACCATAGGGTAGAGACGGAGGTCTGGAGGTTGGTAACAGATACTGACCCTGGTTTTACACAGCTTTACCAAACCTTTAAAATCAGATATGGTGTAAAAAGAAAAATTTAAAAAAATCAAAAACCAATTTTAAAAAATACCATAGCACATCCCAGGAATAATTATGTACTCTCACTGATAAATATCTTCCAAATTTTGATATTTTGTTGACAGAAACAGGTTTCTTACTATCTCTGTAAGATTTACCATACCCTTTATACCTTGCCTTCGGTTACCCTAGGACTCTCAAATATGGGACCTGGAACATGAGGATGCTATTGGCTGATACCAGAAAGTAAGCTTATCCAACTTCCGGCATTTACTCATTACTGAAAAATCATGTTTTTAACTTTGAAAACTCCTGCTTTGAGCGTCACCGATAAACTGCCATAAGGACTAGTATATTAGCTTGCTTGTTCTTGCCTGGCAAGTGTTGCTAGTGTGACAGACTGAGTAAAGTGCAAGTTACCGTAGTTCAGATAGGGACGATGAATAAAATGACTGTACCTCTGTACCGGTGTGCTGCATCCCTCCTCCCCAGAAGGTTTGCGGTGTACAAGTACCATGGTTTCCAGAAAATACACCTCTATCGAAAAACTTGTACCTTCCGTATACCGAGAGCTTTGAACCTCCCAAATAGTACGAGTAGACTACCGGTACCCTAGCCTACTCGTAGTTGGCGTTGATACTCGAGTACCGTATCCGGCGATCCAGCAGCCAGCAAGAACCAAACCACCGCTGTATGATACCGTACGAGTATTCCCAATACCCGCTGACCGCTGCAGCGCCGCCAATCCCGCCCACCTCTACCCTCACATCCTCGGATGGGAGAAGGAGGACCTGCGCGCAGCCCAACGCCAATGCCCCCCCGCCCGCTAACAAAAGACTGATCACATCTGCCTATCCATGCGGCACTGCGAGATGCCACAAATAAAGTGTGTGTTTAGTCCCGGTTTCTTTACCCCTTGTCTGGGAGCCCGCTGACCTGGCGACATCGGACACGCCCCACCGCCGGGAAATCTTCCCCGAAGCAGCAGGAACATGGTTTACAGTACAATAAAAGCAGGGCAAATCAGGGGTAGAACTTGAGTAGTGTACTCGTAGGGGGGGATTTGAATACGGGATCATGGCCTTGGGCTATCTTGAGTATGATAGACTAATGACGTGCTCGAGGAGACACCTCAATACTGTACTCGAGTACGCTCGGCTCCATTAATTGTGGAGGAGGAGGGTCTGAGGACTCAAGAGGGTTAGTCTAGCTGTTGGGTAATTACCGGAGGGCCGCTCTGCTGTCTCATTGTGTAGACTACCACCTATTCGTACAATTTATTTATCAGATAATAGTACGAGTACCCTACTGTACAGGTACAATCGTACTAGGGGTTTTCAAAATTAAAAAGGTAGCAAAAATTTAGCTTACTTTGCTGTTTTATGTAAACTTGGCATGCACAGAAATGGTTAATTTACTGTCACTTAACTTTACCATACCATAGGATAGAGACGGAGGTCTGGAGGTCAGTAATGGATCCTGGCCCTGGTTTTACACAGCTTTACCAAACCTCTAACATCAGACATGATGTATCATAAAAAGAAAATTTTTTAAAAAAAATCAAAAAACCAATTTTAAAAAATACCATAGTACATTCCAGGAATAATTATGTACTCTCACTGATAAAAATCTTCCAACTTTTGATATTTTGTTGACAGAAACAGGGTTCTTACTATCTCCGTAAGATTTACCATACTCTTTGTACTTTGCCTTTGGTTACCCCAGGACTCTCAAATATGGGACCTGGAACATGAGGATGCTATTGGCTGATAGCAGAAAGTAAGCTTATGCAACTTTCAGCATTTACTCGTTACTGAAAAATCATGTTTTTAACTTTGAAACACCTACTCTGGCACGGTAGTTCATGGTATGGTACAAGTACAGTACTACTACTGTATGTGTTTGTAGAGGTTAGGCTTCGCCGAGCTCCATTTATCCCGATCATTGGCCTATTGTGCCATGCCCGGCCTGCCACTCTTTACCACGCAGAACCGTCGGGGGTGGTGTAGTAAACGGTACTTGTATTACCCTCGTCGGATCCCCGCAGCCCGCGATTGAAGTGCTGTACCGGTGCTTCAGTTTCCGATGAGCGGTTTAAGTTAGCCTAATGGTTGTAAAACTTTGTTTGTCGAACCAGCTCCTGAAACCTGTACTCGAGTACTATCGCTCGGCTACTGGTATCATGATTTCTTCGTGCATACCGCGACCACAAAATTTCGTCATGAGAGGTGTTTATTTCTATAGCTGTCTAATGAACGGGTGGGTGGCTCCCCGTTCTAGTCTCTTCTTGTAACTGGAATACTATCATACTTAGGAGGATCGAAAACCCAAGCTACCGTAATTCTACAGTATTCAGCCTCCCATCTGTACGGGTGCTGCCGATCGAGTTCAAATTGTATGTACAGGAAAGGTAAACTGTGCTGTGGGTGTTATTCATACAGGGCAAAAATTAAATGCTGGTACAAAAAAATAAACAGGTCAAGATAATTCGTATTCTCTTCATCACGTCTCATCCCTGGTTAAACACCCATATTCAAATTCAACCCGCCGATACCCAGGTCTTCGCCTTCCTCACCCAATATACCAACAGCCCCAGCGGTCCTCCTCCCAGCTGTTCTCCACAGAAACCTCTTGCTCCCGGCCTCCTCAGACCCCTCCTCATCCTGCATGGAATTGATCCCCGTATCCGCCGCCATCCTCTCATTGAACGCTTTGTAAAAAAATTCTCCCTCTTCTTCAAAAGGTGGCCTGGTGTATGCTGGCCCACGTCCCATTTCTGCAGCCTTCTCCCATGCGCGTTGACAGCCCAAAAGCACGCGGGACGCAGTGGCCCAGCCCGTTAGACGGGCAACTTCCCGCAATTTCATGACAACCCATTCCCGCTGTGCTTGGTCGTGGTACTGGACCGCTGCGAAAAAGATTGGCATTGAGGACTCAATTAATGAGGCCCCGAGAGCAGGGTTGATCTGACCGGTGGGGTCTGTGGGGACAAGGCCAGCCGTGATGCGTGCAATGTCTATTGCAAGCTTTGCCGTCTTCTGGGCTGCTACACCAGCGGCTACCATTGATACAGCAGGCATAGAGGGGTGACATCGGTGTAATATTATTAAAGCCATGTTGTATAATGATTGTAATGTTGCAATAGAGTATGTTCTGAAGTAGATTGCTGCGCCAAAAGGTGTTTTTTGCACGGGCATGTACTCAATAGGCAGAGGCTGATATTCATGACCGAGCGACTCTTGGAAGACATGAAAGGCCTTATAAATTTCCGCCCATTCTGTTTCTGCAAGGACAGTTGCAGCTTCAAGATCCTCCTCCGATGGAAGGTCATCCTTTGGAGCTGCGGCAGCTTTTTCAGGATCGCGGGGAAGGTTTTCTGCAAAAGCAGTAGGCAGGCGAGGGGGGGCTGTGGGAGGTGGAATCATGCCAAACTGCATCTGATCGAATGAGGGTCCCATACCCCGCCCTCGGCCCGCACCCGGAGGGCCTCTCATACCGGATGGACCACTCATCCCGCCAGCACCCTGAGGTCCACCCACACCCCTAGGGGGGCCACCCGGGGGCCCACCAGGGAACTGCGGAGGCCCTTGCATGCCGGGCACACCTGTGCCCGGGGGCAGGCCTCCTCTCCCTCTCCCTCTACCTCTTCCCATTCCCCTCGGCGGTCCCCCCATCTCCGGCGGCGGAATCCACATACCCCCATTGGCCTTTTGCATGGCTTTTTTCCGCTTCAAATCCCGCACCTGGAAGTCGCAGAGTCTCCCTAGGAGCAAAAAAAAGTAGTCAGAAGAGCCATATGCTGTGCCCAGGGTACCGATCCGCGCTCGGGGAGGGCATTGGCTCCAGAAAACATAGTCAAGACTGTAGTGTATATGTTAGCAAAGTATAAAGTTGAAAAGGTCCGGTTGTGGGACATGTCGTACACAAGGGGGCCCCCGCTCAGGACGGATTGATAGCAGTCCATCTTCGCAAACCACCAAAACATGTCTTCCTGCAATTGCATTGTCTCCTCTTCCTTCCGACTGAATTGTGCCTCCGGCTTCTTCCCTGAACCATGAGGTCTTCTCTTCGCTTTACCCATAATGTACGCTGTAAGGTTCTCATCCGCTTCGTTAGCAACGAGCTGTCGCCTCATTTTCCGTAATCTAAGTAGAGTAGGCTGAGGCGCCGACTCATGAGAGCCCTGCCCCCCATCCGCCCTCTCTTCTTCCATCATTGAGACTCTTCTATTCAGTTTGTCGAAATCAATCTCCTTCAAGAGCTGCTTTGCACCGTGAATATGGCTGCTCCATTTATCATGCTCAGCCGCCATAGTCTCGTAGTAGCCCAGAACCAGTGTTGCGGTTAGGGTGGCCGCGTGCCCCCTATGTTTATCGCTAGCAATCGCTTTTCCCAGTCTTCTGAGAGCGATATGATAATGCAGAAGCGAAGGGTGTGTTGGTCCACGGGTCAACTTTGATATGTGAAGACTGGATAGCGCTAGTATCGCATGTAGAAGTGGTGGATGTGATAGCGACAACATGGGGATAGTATACGACCACACGTTTTGAGGGCCGTTGAGCCCCGCACCTGGGGTAAAAGCGACATGCGGATTCGGAGGGTGTCGCTCGAACAACGACAAGCTAGGACCTAGGACGTAAATGAAATGGCAAAATATCTTGGCGGTCGTATGATTCATCAATGGCGAAGAAGTCATAGTCGGGTGATATGTCGTGAGGACGCCCTGATCCGGTAAGAATGACCTAAATGATATCCTAGTGTTTGCTAGATGCCTAAAATGCGGCTCGATAACGTTCGATATATGCGCTCTCGGACTTATCATCTCATGTCCCGTAGGGTCCATCATCATCTCATCCAAGCCGCGAACCTCATAATCATCCTCGTCGTCGTCATCTTCATCGTACATCTCGTCACTGTCGTCATCGTGCTCGAGTTCAAGATCGGCTGGTGCTTGGTGCAGCTGGATGAACTCCGGGCCGACAAAATGGGCGCCGCTGAAGCCCGGGTCGGCAGTTGTGGTGATGGTCGCCGGGTCGGAAGACGGCCCCGGCGGCCCTGACAATGTCGCTACATACGGGTCAGCGTTGGGGTAAACGACGGAATGCCTTCAACGTAAGTTTGGGCTCGCAAGTCAGGGAAAAAGGGGGCAATTATCGGCAAAATGACCCAATATAGAAACAGATTCCGGAAGCCAAATGTATGATCCCAACAGGATTACCTTCCATCAGGATGCTGAACAGGCGGTGCGGGGGTGTGGGGCAAGGAGGATAGAGGCGCGGAAAGGAGGCACGTACAGCTCACAGTATTACGAGTGACAGGTGGGTGACTTGTTCTCGGGGGAGGGATCTGCACCAGACCGTTCCGAGAACGAACTCACACGGGAAAGAGATGAAGCCAAAGACAAATGTACACACCGGCGTTTGCACCAGCTCCAACAAAGTTCAAGGGGAAGACCTACGAATAAGGTTTTCATCATTTCTGAATATCCCTCCAAGCCCCTGAGCCGGCTGGTTGAATTGTTCCCGAGCATATTCCCGATCGATAGGGGGGTTGAAAGGACGCGAATTAGAGGTACTAGTAGCCGAAGGATGGGAGGGTGCATATGAGGTGATCGGGGTATTGGTATATATCCCGGGGCTTGACCCGGGACCGAATACAGACGGCACCGACTCGGAATCTATGGAAGCACTGAACTGAGGCCTGTCGCTACTCGTGGGTGACCCAGGAAAGGTTGCACTAGCCGCAGAATTCGGAACCTGTGGGTAGTATGGCATGAATTGTTGCGCACCTTGGTCGTGTCCTTGGGCCACGGGAACCTGCTGGGGCTGGCTATATGGGTCTTGCTGCTGTTGGTATTGGCCTTGGTGCCCGAGAGTATCTCCCAGAGGTGTGGCAGAGCTTTGTTGACCTAGGCCATGGAACATCTGTTGATGTTGTTGAGTGTGCTGCTGTTCTTGATATACATGCCTAAGATGAGGAGGCTTGATCTGATCCAGGGGCACAATAGCCTCCGGTTGACGGTAGTTGACCGGCGGGGCAGGAGCAATTGGTTGTAATGTCGATCCCGATCCCGATCCTGGAGCCGGAGCTGGTTGAATGGGATATGGCTGGAGCAACCGTCTTTCCGCTGGGCCCCCCGCAGCCCCCATCATCCCCGGGCGATACATCCCATTCATCCCGTCCTTGAAAACCACGCGTTGGTTGTAGCCTTCGCATACTCGCTTAGATTTGATGCAGTTTGCACACGTTGGCCGTTCCTCTCCGCACTTTATGCGTCGCTTTCGGCAAGCTAAGAAAATAAAGAGGGTCACTCGTTAACCACACATCTTCTTGCTTTGGAGTTTCTTATTCATTCATCTCGTGCTATCATAGAAAGAGTGAAAAGTAGTGTAGCATACTTAAGCAACCCGTTTTGGTTCTTTTCCGCGAAGCCTTCGCAACTGCGGCCGCACTCGATGGAGCTGCTTTGCTATTCCCGCCATCCCCACCATCGGGTGGCGATACCGCTGCATTCTGCACTGCTGAACTTGACGAAGTGGCATCAGTTGTTTCGGGGGGAGAGTTCCCATTGCCCGATTGTTGTAGTTGTTGCTGGTCGGAGGAGCCGGTTTCATCAGCTCCACTAGCAGCCGAACAACTCTGAGGTAATTGGGACTCCATCAGGTGGGATTGAGAAAAATGCCGATAGAGGAGAGAATGAAAGAAGAAAGAAAAGAAACGCAGTAGTGAATACCTCGGATATGATAACCCGGGCTACGAAGCCAGCTAAAGTGATAATCGTATATCGGAGCGTATGTTGCGTGTAGCCCAACAAATCCTTTATCAGACGAGAGGCTGGTGAGAAGGGAAGGGTATAAGGGAAGTTTGCCGGCTCAAACTCGCTTGTCGTCGCCCTGGATGCTGCTGATCAGACAGGAAGTATTCAGATAGGCGAGTAGAAGGTGGATATAAATCCTCTTTCCCGATTCGCTTGAGAGCGGACAGATCCTTTCCGCCCCCCATGATTGTGACCTATCCTATCATGGCCTGTTAAGCCCCCCCCTCGTTCTACACACCACACCTCCCTTTTCGCCTCCACAGATTGCTTGTGCACCTCAGTGTTTCTTCAGGTGGAATTCGGTAGGGGGGACATATAAAGCCCTAAAAAAAAACGTGGTGATTTTTCCCGGGGGGGGGGGAGAGAGAGA